GCGAGACACAGGCCTGTGTGGCTGTGTGAATCCCTGTGTCCCCACGTCTCACACATGCAGCCAGGACGCCGCCTGTCCTGCACGACTTTCTCAAGCTTGGGGAAGCAGCTCACCATGGGCCCTCGGGTCATCTGCCTATTGCTGCCTAATGCTTACACAAAACTTGTGTGTGTGTTCTGCCTCACTGGTCTCAGACACATCAGGAAACAGTGCGTGGAGGACCCAGGTGGGAGCTCAGCGGCCCCAGCGCTGGGCAGAGTCTCGGCACCTCGGGAGCCTGCCCTGGGTTGGTGACCGGCAATGAGGTTCAGTACGGGTGATACTCGGTGACCTGCGGCTTCTCAGCACAACAGCGGCAAGGGCAGCGGCGGAGAAGTCAGCCTGTCCTGGGAGCACAGGGCCACGAAGGAGGCTGCTCTGGCGGTAGGAAGGCGTTGAGGCAGAACACTAGGGCTCGTCTGTGCCCACCATCCTAGCCAGGCACCAACGTGCGGGTCAAGGGCCATGGTGGGGCACTGCGACAGCAAGCCCTGGGGGGTCTTCCAGACCGCAGCCCCAGCTGTGTGCGCCCGCAGTCCCACGTGGGAGCTCAACACGGAGACGTCCAGCCAAGCCCGCGCAGCACAGCAGACGAGGGACACGACTGCGCTTAGGCTCAGCGGGGGGAGGCTGGTCGGGCAGCAATAGAGACCCAAAATAGAGACCACAGTGGGGGAGGGGCACGGGCAATACAACGGGAAAGGCTGGAAAGGAGTGCACAGAAATGAAAGATAAGTTACAGAAGAATAACCATACATATTTAAAGCAGAAGACACCAAAACTTGGTATTGGGAAATGAAGGCTAATCTACCAAATTGTATTACACATAAAGAAATTCGGTCTCCTCACTTAAAATATATAATATACTTACAATAAGGTAAATTAATGATAGAAACAGTGTGGGGAGATAAGTGTGAAATTTCTAAGCTTTCCTCTACTCAAAGCCACACAGGCCAACTCCAGACACAAATGCATTCACGCCCGGCGCAGGGAGCTCACACTTACGCGGCCCGGCGTCCGCTGCCTGGGCTTTCATCCTCCCGTGCATGAAGCCAAGCGCGAAGGCACCGTTGATCTGGCCGGCGGAGTGCAGCAGGGTGGCTCTGCACCGGCCCCCCGCCGCGCCGCGCACCAGGAGGTAGTAGCCGGCTTGTTCTCCTCTCACGTCCACAGCGGGCGCTAAGGAGAAAGGGCTTTGGGTGAGGACGCGAGGCCCGACTGCACCCAGGGCAGCGTGCGCAAGTTCGAAACTCACGGGGCCAGTAGATGGTCACTGTCTTATAAAGCTGTTGAGGCAAAGAATCATAAAAATCATACAAAGCATAAACCTTTTGTTTTAAACTAAAACTATGCAGTCATTGTTCTGATGTGGCTCACTGGAGTTTCATGGTATCTTTGCTCTTCTTTTTTGTTGGTGTTACTGAGGATGGAACCCAGGGCCTATGACTGAGTCACATCCCCAGGCTGTTTTTAAAAAATTTTTTTTGTTTTTTAAACTGAGATAGGTTCCCACTAAGTTGCTAAATTGCCCAGGCTGGGCTCAAACTTGCCATCCTCCTGCCTCAGCCTCCCAGAGTGCTGGGATCACAGGTGTGCGCCACCCCAGCTGGCTAATACTGTTCTTATACAGGTATCCTCAAAAATATATATCTTCTTTTTTTCAGCTTCTATTTCTTTAAAGTGGACTACACGGACTCCTGCAAGCACACACAACTCGACTAGTGAGAGGAGAAGTGCACAGATAAAAAGTTAACCCTCCATGCCCACAGATTCTGTGCCCCACGTTCAACCACTCACACACCCAGAATAACTGCATCTGGACCTGGGCGTACGGACTTTTCTTGTATTAATTAATACAGTGGAGCAACTATTTACACAGCGTCTACACTGCTTTAGGTAGACAAGAACCTCAAGATGGTCTAAAGTCTGCGAGAGGGCATTAGCAGGTGACATGTAAATGCAGGCCACTTTCTACCCAAGACTGGAGCTTAGCTGGGTTTTGGTCTCTTATTATTTTTTTTTTTATTTTTTTGGTTTTTCTCTGGTACCGGGAACCGAACTCACGACCTTGCGCTTGCCAGGCAGGCGCTTTGCCGCTGAACTAAATCCCCAGCCCCTTGGGTTTTGGTCTCTGAGGGGCGCAGAACCAATCCCCTCTGCACAGAGAGTGTTTGTCTGCAGCGGGCTTGTCTGCAGCAGGCACCCACGATGCCTTCACAGAGAAAACGGAGAACACCATTCATAGGCACGCCGGGGATGGGAAGGTCGGCAGAACAGTTTCGGACATTTTCAAAACACATCAAGAGAGGTCAGAGTGATGACGGCGGAAGAAAAACCGTGAAGCCTTCGGGAGTAAAAACAGAAATAGCGTCCTTGCTTGTTTCAGGATGGTGAACTGGATATAGCAGTTATTTTCACTATCTTCTGATATTCCACTAAGTCAGAATACAGAGAATTAAAATACTGTGAGTCTACAAGGACAGATATCTGGGAGAAGACAGAACTGTGACTTCCGTTTGAAAGCACACCGTCAGTTGGCAGCAGGCTTCAGTCTCTCGCCTGCTAAGGAGGCGGGAAAGACGGTGCCCAGAAGCACCCAAGTCTATAAGGGCCAGCTGCCCGCAGGCCTGGACAGAGGCCCAGGGAGCTCCAGGCAGAAGGAGGGTAGGACAGGAGGATGGGCTGCTCGATGGCCTGGGACGCAGCGAGGCTTCCCCATCCCTTCTTACTTCACTCAGACAAATGACTGTCCGTCCTGGGCAAAAGTTGACTTTTATTCTCTAAAGAGAATAAATAAGGTCTCTGGCCTAGAGGACATACAAGAATTGAGGGTTGGCCTTCTGAACTGATTATCAGGGAACTGCAGCGTGTGCCGATATACTGACTATTGAGGCCCAGGATCTGGCTTTCCCGATTTAATTCCCAAATGCCTGGAAGCTAGACAGCAGAGCTGAGCCATCTCAACCCATCGTTTGGAAGTACGGCAAGTCATATGAAAGTCAGAGGCCAAAATAAACAAGAAGGCAACTTATAGGGAAACCAAGAAAATGCAGTGAATAGAAAAGTCTTAAAAACTAATTCCCAAAACAGGCAAAACAGATGACTAATATTCTCTAAGAAGTGTTATAGCTTTTCAGAACCGGAAGGCACAGGAGCTCGCGGAAGGGCACACCGGGCGGAAGAGCACCACTAACCCTAACCCGGGCCTCGCCACATAGTCCTCTAGGAGCTGGGCCTGCGCAGAGCGGGACCCCGGCCCTCCTTTCTGCACACTGCCCCTTGTCAGCTGGGGGACATCCTCCTCTTGCTTCCAGGAGGCTGGCTATCGAGATCACAAAGAGGCCCAGGAGGAACTGTTGTAGGCGACGGTGCTTATGGCACAGGCTGGTGGCTTTGCAGCTATCTGTGTACTCATTCTCAAATTCATCAAACCGTATACATTAAATTTATATAGCTCTGTATGTCAATCATATATTAATAAAGTCATAAAAAATACAATGGAGAGCTCATGGAAATTAAAATGAATAAAGCAGAAGTAATACTCCAACTAAATGATTACAAGATACATTTCAGAAAATCTACCAGAAAGTAAAATTTTAAAAAAAAGACGAAATGGAAAACAGGAAGGAAAGACAGGGAAACCAAACAGGCAGAATATGGAAATAAGATCTACAAGAAAAAGGAAACGTTAAAAATAGAGGAAAGAAAATTATCAGCAAAATAATTATAAAAACATTCTCCTGCCAGTCATGTAGTAATTCCATTCTCAGAAGGCTGAGGCAGGAGAATCATAGCAAATCTGAGGCTAGCTTGAGCTAAGCAGTGAGCACAAGGCCAGCCTGGACTATTGAGCAAGATACTGAATCCAAACAAAACAAAAACAGAATAAAATTCTCTGCCAAAAGACAAGGTTCCAGGCATTCCAAATACCCAAATATGAATTAAAACAGAACTAATATGCATTATTACAAGAAGTTAGATGAGAACCAACAAAAAGGACAAAAGGAAAATCTTTCACGAGGACAAAAAGACAGTCAGAGACCCCCAAACTATGGAACAAATCTGGCGGTAAAACCAACCGATCCGTGGGGACAGATTTCTTCCCTACACATGATCTGACAGAATACTGAATACTGGGCTACACAGCTGGATTGTGGATGGTGATTACATAATCTTGATGGAAACAATGGTGATCTAAATTCCTGCAAGATCGTTCTGTGGAGAGAGGGGAACTGGGTGTGGTGAGGACAAAGGATTTACAGAGGATAAAACCCTCACATTCCAGAAGGACGAGTCGGGGATACATCACAAAGGCACCAAGTGGCCATTTCTGCAAAGTCCTGATTTACAGATCCGGAGTTACAGTTGCTTCTGGGGAAGAGCAAGCACGGTAGGTTGTGGTAAGAACAACTATTTTTTAAAAGCATTCTGGAAATATAAGCTACATAATATATGATTTACCTACTTAAATACGTAATCCAACAGCTTTTGGTCTATTCCGAGTTGTGCGATCCTCTTCAAAATCTAATTTTGGAACATCTGTGCCCCCCCAAAAGAGCAAACCCCCATCACCACTACCAGTGTGACTGCTTGTTTCAAATCAGTGCTTACAACCTGTTGAGGCAATATATTTGATTTTTAAATGATATAAATGCCTTTGACCAAAAACAGGAGGACAAGAGAACTAAATGTAAAAAAAAGCACTCAAAATTTAATCTACTTACTCCTCATTTATACCAAAGGATAAAAGCTGTAGAGGTAACAGAATAGCATATACCACGAAGCCACTGATCTTTATTATAATTACTCCTGCATACTCATGTTTACATATACAAATTACAGTAATGGCAAGGTCAAGGCACTGTGAAGGAGAGTTACCGAAGCACAGTAACAGGACACTCAGGAAAATGCCCAAGGAACTGTGATCCTTGAACACCTGGCATCACAATCCACTGAAGCCTGAAGTCAGGAATGAAGACAAAGAACAAAGCATCTGGAGCAATGTCAACTGCAAAACTGAGAACTCAACTAGGCTCAGTACTCAGCTTCTCACTAGCAGGACTACATCCTGTCCAGCCTCACACCCCAAAGGTTTGGAACTCTGTATACAGTGAGTGCTCAATAAATGCTGCCAGAGGCATGATGGAAAAAATTATTGAGATAACCATAGAACAGCATGAGCGTTAATAATGGGGGACTTCTCAGACGGACAGAGGGACAGTAATGTGGAAGTGATGGTGTAAAGCTGAGGAGAGACAAGGGATCTCAGAGCAAGGAGCCACTTGGGAAGCCCACAGTATGAGCAGGCACCGCCAAAGCCAGCTCCGGGCCTCTGCACCAAGAGTGTAGTGCGCTTTGCTGGCTCCTTCCCTAGACAGCGTAGCCGGAGGCCGCTCCTTCCTCTCCTCAGGGCTTTTCAGTCTTCTGGCTCCCTCAAACCTTCACTGCAAATGTGCCCTTGCTTCATTTCTTTGTATTGAAAGATTCACCCTGGGAAAATCTATTTGCTCTGACTGACCGGGCCAACTCACAGTGACACAGCAGGTCAGGAAAAATCACCACCTCGAAGCGCCCAGGGCGTTTATTTAGGGGCCACGGAGATGGGAGCATTATGAGCCCAAGGGGTGCGCTTATCCCAAGGGACCTGGGCAAATGAAGAAATATTGATTCAGGAAAAATACTATTAAGATCGAGTAAAACTGAGTCGCTAGCACTTCGGCAGTGAGCTGTGTCTTCCCAGTCCGCTCCGCACGCTTCCGCGGTACTGAAGAGGCTGCTCCAGGGGCTGTGGCCCAGAAGACCGTCACCTTCTCTCAGCTCCAGGTGAGGGCCAGGGATGTCAGGGAGGGTGGGCAGCCTGCATTTCTCACCTCCCCGGCTCTGACTGGGAGAGGCCAACTCCTCGAGCAGGGGGAGACTTGAGGGACTCCCCTGCTGCACCCAGGACCACCCCAAGTGGAGGATACCAGGGACCCAGACCTCAGCTCAGCCCTCAGGGCACAGAAAGAAGCAAGCGGTCCGGTTCACTACAGAGAGCCAACCAGGAAGGGCAGCTGAGAGGAGCCATCTGCGGTCAGAATCCATCTCAAAGACTAACCTCAAAATTACCCAAATTTAACTGGATAGGCAATTTAAATGGCTCTAGAGCAACTTAGGCGCCAGGGCACTGTAGAAAACAA